CATTCCTGGCTCCTCCCACTGACCTTGGCTGAGCAGCTGCAGGCTCCGCCCCTCCTCGCGCACCTGCAGGCGCAGCAGCTGCTGCAGCACCTCCTGTCGCTGCGCCTCCTGCGCCAGCCCCATCCGTTGCAGCTTCTCCGCGTTCAGCCGCAGCAGTGCCCGGCCTGGGAGGGAGGGGAGAGGGGTTGAGCCGAGGTTGCCATCCAAGGGGCTTCGAGAGCGAAGGCAGAGAGAGAGAAGGGAGAGAGAGGAAAAACTGGGTCGGGTGGGCAGAGACAGACATGCAGAGAGACGGGGCAAGAGAGGGAGAGAGGCGGAGGGAGGGCAAGGAGGAATGGTGGCTGAGCAGAGCGAAGCCAGGCGACCGCGATGACGGAAACAGAGACAAAGCCCCAGACGGAGAGGCCGGCTGGGGAGGAAGCAGAGGAGGGAGGGGGAGAAGGCTCTCGGGGAGCCCGCCCCTGCCACGCGCCAGCCCCCCAGCCCCCCAGGGCACCGGTGATGGCGTGCTGGGAGAAGGCCTCCACGTAGATGAGGTAATTGTGGGGACACTGCCTCTTGAGCCACTTGCAGACGTCCTGCTGACTCCACAGGACCACGGGCCTCGCCGGGCCACCCAGGGAGGGGCTCGTGTGGTACAGGCCATCGTGGTCAGAGTACGGCCGGCCCTGTGGGAAGAGGGGTGGCCGGTGGAGTGGGGTGGCAAGGAGGGCAGGGGCCGGGGTGGGTGTAGTGTGTGGGTGGGTACCTGGGGGGCCTCGGTGCCGGGCTGCTGAAGGAGCTTGACCTGCCGGCTGCCAGCTGCCCTCTGGCTGCGGGAGTCGTGCCACGTGAGGCTGGTGCCCGGGGTCCGCGGCAGGGGGCAGGGGATGCTCTCGGCCGACACCGTGTGCTCCAGGAGGGTCCGGCAGAAACTGAAGTGGGCAGTGGCTGCAAAGCAGGGGTGCCTGGTCACAGCGGTCAGGGGCAGGGGCTCCCTCCCTGTGATCCGGCTTCCTGCTCAGCCCATCTTCCCTCCACGGAAGAGGAGAGACACGTTCCCACTTAGGGGTTCCCAAGCCTCCCCAAAGAGAAGGAAGTGTGCACGAGCTGTCCTGAGAACTCCACCTTCAAGAAGCATAGTCTATGCTCTGGGGAGCAGGATGGATCCTGTTTAATTAGAGAGAGGCATGGCCACCAGGGAGCCTCACACTCAGAGCCAGGCGGGGCTCCCCCGGAGGTCCTGATCTTCTCCTTGGGCTGGCAGAGCCACATCGGACCGGGGCGCGCGCGCGCACAGGACTTGCCTGTGAGGAAACGTGGCCCCAGTGTCCTGGGAGACTCTGTGCCGTGGGGAGACCCCTGTGGCTGGGCTGCCTGTCCACGTCGTCGAAGGCACCTGGTCCCTGCAGCCCCACCTGGCGTTCCTTGGAGGCTTGGCCTCTGTCCTGTTGTGCTCACTGGCTGTGACTTGTGAACAAGAAGAAGCCTGAACTCTGGGCAAGCCCACAAGCTTCCTGCTGCCCCTTCCTGCAGGCCCCCTGGCCCAGGGCAGCTCCTGTGCATGGCAGTGTCAGCACAGGCACACAGGCTGCACCCACGAGCTCGGGGACCCAGGCTGAGTCCCTGTGCTTTCTCTTCCCACACCAGCTTCGTTACACTCATCACGTTTTAGTTTTACCATCATTTCTGTGCTGGTTGCTGACAGGAGTCAGGGGAGGGTAGACACCCGGACTGACTCCTCCCAAGGCCTTGCACAGATCTTGGGACACAGGAGGTGCCCAGAAACATTGTGAATGACTGAATGGATGGATGAAGGCTCCGTGTGGTGTCCACAAGTCAACAGAGCCCTGGGGAGAGACAGGAAGCAGGGCCCAGCCTTGCCCCATCATACAGCATCCACGCCCTGACTCAGCAGGCAGGATCGGGTTCCCAGGCCAGGGTCCTTCCCCCACCCTGTCAGCAGGAGAATTAGTGACCCTCCTACCACAGACACAGCCCCTCACCCCCACTGAGGGCAGTGCTTGGTGATGTGCCCAGGAGGTTTCAGTAATGAGGGAAACCCACATCTTCCATCCCCTCCTCCTTCCCCATTCTTACAACTTTCTGGAATTGGATGGCAACTCTAAATTTGAGGTCTGGGGTCAGACAGAGGGCGTGGCCGAGGGTGGTTCTAGTACGGTTGGAGGAGACGCATTCTAAGCAGGCACGTTTCGGGGGAGGGGCGCCCGGGTCAGGGGCCTCCAGGCGGGAGAACCAGTCGGACGCCTCAGCCCGCGCCGCACCTGCCCTGGGCCAGCCCGGCCCCGCCCATTTCCTGCCCGCGCTGGGGGAGGGCTCTCCGTCCGTCTGTCGGTCCGTCCCTCCTTTCCAGCCCCAACGTCAGAATTCCAGGAGGAAATGGGGCGGGGACCCCCTCTGGGCCCCACTGCAGGGGCCGGGGAAGGTTTTCTCCGCGCGAAGAAAAAGGTGACCGCAGGGTGGTGCTAGCCTGGGGACAGGAGCCTCGGCGGGTCACCTCCCCCAAGCCAGGGCGCGCCGATCCCCAAGGCCTGACCGCCGCCCCCCCACCCGCCCTCGCCCCAGCGCAGGATAAAGACACCGGGAATCCCGTTCGGCCGGGACGCGCCCCCTACTCCGAGCGCGGCTGCAGTTTGGACTTCGCTATGACCCGGCCCTGTCCCTCTGGTCCTCGAGCCCCCAGACCGCGATAGCTCCGCGCCCGGGTCCAGCCCTGCTCACCGTCCACATCCCGGCGCTCCCCGAAGCCGGCGCGCACAGCCCCGGCGCGGCCTCGCGGGGGGCTCGGCTTGGTCCTCAGCTCCGTGAACATGGGGTCCGCGGGTCCCCAGCCGGTGCACACGCCCCTCGCCGGGCGCAGGGCGGCCCGTGTGGCCGGCGGGGAACGCGCGCCGCTGCCCCGCCCCAGCCGGTCCCCGCGCCCGGCGAGTCTGCGCGGCGTGGCACCTGCTGCCGATCCCTGAGAGCGGGGCGCGCTCCGGGAGCTCCGAGGGGTGGCGGCGGCGCGCGGATGTGCGAGCGCGGAGGGCGTCTGCCGGGGCAAGGGGCGGCTGTGCGCACCTGGGCATGGCGCCAAGGACGAGTGACTCTGTGCGGCCGCCCGGGGTCCAGGCGTCTGCAGGAGCATCTGAGGGTGCCTTAGTGCTCTCTGCGCAGAGGAGGGGTTATCCTACCTGCTCCTGGACCCTCTGCCCCATGGGGCCTAGGTCAAGGGCCAGACCCACCACTTCCCTCCATTCTCCTTTGTCAATTTACTTACTCATTCCTTTATTCATGCATTCTCCAGACCTCTCTGGAGGTTTCTCCCTCGAATGGGCACTTGCTTCCCCGGAGAAGCCAGTTTGACCCTCTCTTACCTCCCCCTCCCCACTCTGTGAACTTCAGGAGGACATCAGGGTCTCTCCCCTTCCCTCTGTAGCCCCAGAATCAGGCTCAGTGCGCAGGATGTGGCACCGAAAAGGGGGACTACGCTGGGGACAGGGAGGAGAGAGAAACTCCGAGGGGGCTGCAGCAGGCAGGGGGGATGTGCTTGCTTCAGGACTCCAGTGAGAAGTGTTAGGGTGGGAGCTGGGGGCTGCCTGGCCCAGCAGAAGGCGAGACTTGTGACCAGCTTTTTGCCTGCTCTGCCAAGAGCCCAAGGGCTCTCCCCAGGTGTATGTGGGGACCAAAGAATGTCCCACTGCCACCTCAGCAAAGGTGCACATGGACACACAGTCATGTATCCAGATAACAGTCCTGCGTGTCCACCTAAAATATGAGCACGGGTGGTCGGACTTGCACCCGTGCGCACCAACACACACGGAATTCACCCACATGCTGTGACCGCCCATGCTCACATACTGACTCGTTCTGCTGCATTTATTTATTTTCGTCAGTTAGCTCTCTCGGGCCTGGGCTCCCACGGTCACCGCAATCACCGGAATGTTCAGGGTATGGTGGGGGTGTGGGCGGGGCCGGAACTGGGCCCAGGAATCTGAGCGCGGAGAGCTAGGGCAGCGGTCTGTACCGCGATCAGGGCACATACACCCCGCACGAGCCCTACACAGTCGGCTAGGTGTGCAGCCTGCTCAGGTGTGTTAGGCCCTGCACCGGGGCCAAGGCGACTCTGAAGGGCAGGGTGGGAGGCTCAGGGAGGAAGGGGACCCATGGGTCCTGCTCGTACAGGCAGGTCTCGGAAATGCATCGAAAACACGCAGTAAGCAGGGCCGCCCCTGCTCAGTTTTGAGGTTCCCCCAGGGCTAGTCCAGGAGCACATCGCCTGCCCGCCGCACCAGGAGCGGGCGCTACAGCACATGCGCTCGCCGCGTCTCTGTCCCCTTAGCTGCGGTCCAGAGCCGCCGGGAGCCGCCGGAAATCGAGTTTCGGAAACTTCCGCCCAGGGAATCCGCGGTGGGCGGGGCTACGTGGGACCACGCGCTCTGCTTCCGGGGCGCGGGTGACGCGGGCTGTGATCCTTCCTGTTACAGAGTCTCGGGCGTGTGAGGGTTTTCGCCTCCGGCCGCGGCCTCCATCCCTTCCCTTCTTGGCCGTCGCCGTCACCGGCGCCATGAACAAGAAGAAGAAGCCGTTCTTGGGCATGCCCGCCCCGCTCGGCTACGTGCCGGGGCTGGGCCGCGGGTGAGGCCTGGGGCGGGCCGCGCGCTGGGGCAAGGGGCCCGGGGTGGGCGGCTGCCGACAGCGACGGGGAGGACGAGAACAGGGATGGCGCGGGGTTGGCCTGATCTTGGTGGGAAGAACGGCGCTCTGGGTTAGAGCAGGCCGGAGGGAGGCTGTCTGCCCCTAGGAGGCGGGACGCTTGGGCTTGAAGCGACGACTCTGAGCCCGGTTTCTGTCCCCGGGGTGGGTGGCAGCACCGTCTTGCGAGTCTGCCGTGGCGAGGACGCAGATCTCCCCCCCCCCCCCCATTCTTGTCTGGAGCGTGACTGATTCTCTCCCCACGATCCGGGCTGGAGTCCTCTGTGTGGCCTCTCACGGTGCTACCTCATTCTTCCCCTGAGGTGCTGGTGGTCACATTGCTGCTTCTTCAGACTCTCTACTCCCCAGGGGTAGGGATGGCATCTGTGAGCCTTGTGACTGGGTCCCCCAGGTCAGATGACTACCATGTATTGTTGAGTACGTGAGCAGCCATCATCACCCTGTTTATTTGTTACTCGTTTGATCAGGTTTCTCTTGTTGGGAGTATTATGTCCAGCGTTGTGGACGTTAGAATCTGGGGCACACACAAGTCTAAGATCTTGACAGTGTCTTCAGAGGACCTGCAGTTTACTAGGGGAGATGAGGTGTTTGCATAAATAAGTACACAAAGAGGAACAGATTTAGAATTCTGGGATTCCAGCGATCAACCTCTGAGCCAAGTTCAGAAGGACGTAGGGGTGTACAGACGTGGCAGGGTTAGAGGAGAGACTGCTGCTTTGTGTGTTGGGCATGTGAGAAGGAAGGTGAGGTGTGGAGGAAGAGGAAGGAATTGTGAGGAGTCTGTGTGGGTGGGATGTGCGGTGGGTGGCGTGGAGCTGCAGGGCCAGAGGGACCAGAGCCCCTGTAGGCACTGGAGAAGTGGACACCTCAGTACGCCGTGCTCAGAGCTGTGTTGAAGCGGAGGAAAGCTCCGTGCGGGGGTAGCTAACCTGGATCCCAGCTGTGATGGGAGTCGTGGTCTCGGAGGAGGGATTTTGGCGGTAGACCCCGTTGAATTTAGAGATGGATGGGAGGGAGAGGGAGGCAAAGCTGATGCCGTGGTGCCTGGGACGGCACTGCCACCATCGGCGGAAACAACCCAGAGCAACTGTAGGGCAGGCACAGAAGGGGAACTCCGACTGGGCCACGTTGGGTTTGGGGGCCTGGTTGGATTCAGAGAGAGGGCTGCTTGGCAGACTGTTGGAAACGGGAGACTGTGGCCTGGGAGCAGAGAGGTCTGGTGCCCGGGGGAATCTCCCTCAAGGAGAATGTGGGGTGGCAGAACGTAGCCTCAGAACTGTCTCAGGTTTCTCTCTCGAAGAGGACAGCTGTGTGGAGTGCACTGCTTCTGGGCCCTTTGGAGGTTTCTCGGAGGAGTTAGAAAAAGAGGGGTCATTAGGTGGCCACTCTTGGGGTCTCCTGCAGTGCCACTGGCTTCACCACCCGCTCGGACATCGGGCCCGCCCGCGATGCCAATGATCCCGTGGATGACCGCCACGCCCCCCCAGGCAAGAGGACCGTCGGGGACCAGATGAAGAAGAGCCAGGCTGCGGATGACGACGACGAGGACCTCAACGACACCAACTATGATGAGGTGACTTGGGAGGGGCTCCCCGGCCAGCGCCCACGTCCTCAACCCAGTGTGCTGTGGGCGTCTGTGCTGAGTGGCTTGGAGTGGCGGGTCCATTGACTGCTCCAGCTAGTCAGCGGATAGGGGATAATAGCTCGAGCAGAGTTTGAGAGGGGAGCGGGAGAAGCGCAAAGAAACGTGCCCTCTTGTGGCCTCTTCAGAAGCGATGCACTTGCAAATATTAGAACTGTTGCGTTGCTGCTGTGTCTTGGCTGGTCTTTAATGATGAAAATTGTAAGCGGGATTGGTAATACTTACCTTCTCTTGCTCTAGTGCTTATTTCCTTAGTGAATTCGTGTTTGGTCTGTTGAGGTCTTCTACAGATATCTTAAAACAGGTGCATTTTTCCTCAGAGAAGAGTTTTGTAAAAATTCGATTTCGAGTAATTTTAAAGTTACAGAGAACTTTCAGAAGTAATATGGAGACTTCCTGCATACTCTTCACAAGTTTCTCCCCATCTCACATGACCCTAGTACTCTTATTATTTTTAAATTTTTAAAAATTTTCGTTTTTTTTGGTCGCACCACATGGCATGTGGGATCTTAGTTCCCTGACCAGGGACCGAACCAGTGCCCCCTGCAGTGGAAGCACGGAGTCTTAACCACTGGAGCACCAGGGAAGTCCCTATTTTTTAAATTTTTATTTATTTTATCTTTGTTTTTATTTTGAGGTATAGTTGATTTACAATGTTGTATTAATTTCTGCTGTACAGCAAAGTGACTCAGTTATACAGTTATATATAGTTATACAGTTATATATACAGTTATATAAAACTATGTATAGTTATACAGTTATATATACATTCTTTTCCATTATGGTTTATCCCAGGATATTGAATTGGGTATTCTGTGCACCCTAGTACTGTTATTGAAGCCAGGAAATTAACACTGACGCAGCAATATTAACTAACCTGTAGATCTTACTTGAATTCCACTGGTTTTTCCACCTGTGTCCTACTTCTGGCCCAGGACCCCACGTTGCATTTAGTTGTGCCTCCTAAGTGTCCTCTGGTTGGTGTGGATATTCTCTCTTTCATGCCCTTGACAATTTTGAAGAGTACTCATCAGCTATTTTATTATCCTTCAATTTGGGATCGACTGATTGAAAAAAATTGTTGAGCAAGCATTTTGCAGCTAGACGTGTTCTTTTATTGATGTTTCTGTTGGTGGGGGTTGTATTGGAGAAAAGCTGACACTCTAAGCATGTTGTTTGGTTCTCAGTTTAACGGCTATGCTGGGAGCCTCTTCTCAAGTGGGCCCTACGAGAAAGATGACGAGGAAGCAGATGCTATCTATGCGGCCCTGGATAAAAGGATGGATGAAAGAAGGAAAGAGAGAAGGTAAGACAAATTGTCGCTCTTCATGCTGTGTTTATCCAACTTAAAAAAAAAGTGTTTGTTTGTTTGTTTGTTTTTGGGCTGCACCGCGTGGCCTGCGGGATCTTAGTTCCCCAACCAGGGATCAAACCCGTGTCCCAGTGGAAGCGCAGAGTCTTAACTGCTGGACTGC